CCGGCTGGCAAGGAGAGGGAGGAGAATGAGCGCGGCTCCCGAGGCTGCCTGGGGAAGGGAAGCTGCGGGGTGTGGACTAAACCACTGTGCTCCACACCCACGCGTCCCTCTCCTCCCGGGGTAGGGAGATGGGGACGACGATATAAGACGACAGCCACGCGACTGGAAATCAGGTCTTCTGCAGGCAGTGCCCCCCTGCCTCTCCTCTACGGTTGGGTATAGGTAGAATTTACATGATTGCTCCTCACCGCTTCCCATTTAACGGCCAGCTAATTTTTCGGTAAGTGGTTTCATGGAGCTGTTCTCTAATTATTCATTCCCTCTCCGCACATACACAGACGCTTGGGAGCGAGACCCTCGAAAGGATCTTCCCCAGAGATTTTTCCGCTGCTCCGCTCTGTGGAAAAGGAAGGAAAGGTGGCAAATAAAATAAATAAAATGCATCACGCGTGACCTACAAAGCCTGTAGGACTGGCGGGCTTGCTCAGCCGAAAACCAGGAGCAAGCAACCTCCCCCCTCGCGTCCCCCGGGCCCCTCGGCTGCAGTGCAACTCCCGCCAGCGGGAAAGTTTCGCGGAACCGACCGCGATCGCCGGAGGCCGGCGGAGGGGGCGGTGAGAGAAGGGGCCGCGTAACCCCCAAGGAACGAGGGCGAACAGCCCCTCTCCGCCTACATGCACGACAGAGACTGTCAAGCGGCAGAATAAGCCCCAAACCACCACCGAAAAAGAGCCAGGAACCCGAGGGAACGAGCAGCGTGAACGACAACGGAATTTAAAAGCGACCGGTGTCGCAACAGGGCAGGGGGTGACCAGGCGGAGACACGGAGAGCAGGGCGGGCGGAGAGGCCGGTGAGAGGCCAGCGGCGGCTCCGAGGGGACGGTTAGGCCGGCCGTTGCCGCCGCGCGCTGTCCGCGGGCCAGCGGGAGCGCCGCACGGTGAAGCTCGAGCGCCCCCTACTGACAGGCAGCGGGCAGCAGCCGCCACCTCGTGCCCGGCGTTGCCTTTTGTTGCGGCGGAGGCCTCGGCGCGCGGCTGGG